ACGCCCCGCCGGAAGTCAAGTGACTCTCTCGCTGGCGCAGAAAAGACGCACACACATAGCGACACTACGGCCCCTTTTATATGCTACCAAATGAGCGTAATTAAAAAAGACACTCCCTCTATTAAGGAATTACGTCAGAGGTAGAGTACTGCTACACATACATGTCATTCTGGCATATTAGTATTAGTATTAATACCATTTTGGCATAGTATTAGAAATGTATGATTTATGAATTAGTAATTTTTTTCTTTACTAAACATATTTTTCAATTGGTTTTAGTTGTTTTTAAACATTGTTTCTTATTGTTAATTCATTTAAGGTATTCTGAAAATAAATTACCGATGACCTCAAACAAGGATGGCTCAGTTTTTTTTTTTTTACAGGTTGAGACCGTCTTGATGAGAGGACTCAAGATGAGTTTCTTCACTTTAAGTGCTTTTATGATATGTTTTTCCATATGTGATGGAGAATCATGCACAAAAGTAAGTTTTCTGTATGTAATATGTGTTTTTCATTGCTGTTTTTATTACTGTTGTGATTTTTTTTAACTTGCTTTTCACATTAGGGCCAGTAGATTATTTTTCAATCAAAGTCCTGACCAGTCAGTAACACGTTTTCTATGCTGTTTGTGATCATGGTTACTAGAGATTTAGTAATGTAAATGTCAGTTTCAACAATTCATGATTATGAATCGCAGAGGTAATTATTTTCTTTATGAAACTTTTTTTTTTTTATTTCAAGTCTTTTTAAATGTTTTAATTCATTTGGGATATTTTGGAAATGAATTGCTTATTCAAGATGACTTATTTTTATGTATTTTCAACCAAAATTCCTCATTGTTTAAAACCATGGCATTAGTTCCTCGTATATTCAATGACCTCAAACTAGTCTGGCTTATTTTATGAGGTTGAGAAAATCTTTATGAGAAGAGTAAAGATGAATTTCTTCACTGTTAGTCCTTTCATTATATTTTTTCTATTGGGGCTGGAGAATCATGTACTAAAGTAAGTTTTCTGAATTTATATATTTATTATTGTTACCTTTTTTTAAATAAATGTTAAATTTGAGGATTTTTATTTTTTATAGAATCAGCACTACTCATGCATGGGAAGAAACCTCAGCTGTATACCACCCAGTATTCCTTCCTCCATTCAAACTCTGGATTTCAGTTGTAATGTTTTGAAACACTTACAGAAGACTGTTTTCCCAGTTCCTCTTCAGGAACTCGAGCTGCGTCGGAAACGCTAGGGGAACGCCTTCTGTGACCACGCTCTGAATAACAGAAATCAGTCCAATAGCTGTTCTACGAGTCCTTGATCTGTCAAGGTAAGCAATACTGTTGCCATCTAAATATGTTGTATAATGTGTTGCTCTATAAATTATATGAAATTTATGTATTTGCTTTCAGATGCCAAATCGAGCACATTGAAAATAATACTTTCTACAATGTGAAGAATTTGGCTACTTTGATTCTCACTGGAAACCCTATTACATACTTTGGACCTGGAGGCTTGAATTCTTTATATAATCTACAAAGACTAGTTCTTGTGGATGCTGGCCTCTCATCCGTACAGCTTCAAATGAATAACCTAACCAAGCTGCAGGAGCTTAGAATCGGGACAAATAACATCCAGTCCGGGTCTCCTTAAAAGCACCTTAAAAGACTTAAGTTTACTTGATCTACATGCCAATAATATATCCATCATCAAAACCGATCACACTGCTGTGTTGCGAGAGATCAATAGAAACATGACTTTGATTCTTGTGTGATAATTCTTGTGTATCCCTCAGAGAATTTGTCAGTATAGCTTTCCAGTTATTTCACAACAGCTTTGACCTGATAATTGTGTGTAGTGGCTTTCCTATAAGCCAGGACAAGGTGGTAAGTTGTTCTTGAGTTACAGGTTGGAATAAACAATGTCAACAGCTATGTCTGTTTCTTGACTTGATAATTTATTAAACACAACAGGGAAAAAAAACATACAATAAAACATATGAAGAAGCTATGGTAAGAACCATATGTTCCCGCCACCCGTACCTGTCTAATACAACTTCAAGGGAAGGTTAATATCACTTGATGTGAACAAGTGACCTACACTTACTAACGGGAGTGCACATCGCCCTAGTGGTGAAATAATCTTTACATTTTGGGTCCTACAGTTATTTTGATGAAATAATCTGGTGCCTCAGTTTTCAACAATGAATTAAAAGAAGAATTTAATTGCTTTTTATGTTGTATTCAACCATTTCTGGCAAAGATGCCATTGTTAGTTGTAGATACTGCAAACAAAGGGCTTTTCTGCTCTTCTTGTTAATATATCTCAGAACTTCCCTTTTGAAACAAACATGCTTACAACAGTAGTGCAAACAGATTTATGTCATATGAATTTCTTCCATCCTGACTAACGTGGTTTGTCCTTGGTTGGGAGTTTTCCATACAAGATTTTGCACATGGTCTTTTCTTAGAATGATTGCAGCACGAGAAAATTCCTTTGCTGAATCTTAATTATTTTGCATGTTGGAACAATGTTTAATTCGGAATCTTACATCCTCGTCTGTTTAACTGGCTCAGTGCTATAAGCAAATTGGCAGGTCAGAGTTCGCCAAACGGAAACCGATCTCTTACGGCCCTGCTTTCCTGTGTCTCATATCAGCACACGCGAGCTGTGTCCCAATTCATAGGCTACGTCCTTCGAAGGATGCGGTCTTCTTTGAATTGGGACACAGCAGCGGTCTCTCGTTTTCTCGTCATACAAACGCAACTAGAGTAGGTAATTGGCGCCATCTTGCGTCTCACAGTGTTAAAATTCAGACGACCGTCAGAAGACTTCAGTATTGCTGTTTGATGAGAGGTATCGTTAAAAGATTTAAGTCATTTGATACTTGGAGGCGCTGTCTCCAGTTAAAGCGAAAGCAAAAGCAAAAAAAAAACTGCTTAGATGAACAAGAAAGAAAAACTGGTAAGAAAAAGAGACACAAAAAAATAAATGAGGGAGAACTTAAAATAGAAGACAAACAACTTGAATTACGACCTCTAATACAATGTTATAAGCTTCAGGTTTATCTAAAAAACTCAACTTAAATCAGTAGTTCACGTGTAGGCCTAGGCCTATTTGTTAACTTACTTAGTATGAAATAATTAGAATGTTCTAAAGTCATTCGGTCATTATCGCAAAATGAATTCCAAATCAGGCTGATAAGGCTGTCTGGTAGCCTAATGACCGATCGACTGATTGTACATTATCCTTTAAGTCGCTCATTGTCACTCTTTTCAGTTTAAACATGTCTTCTCTCTGTGCAAATTATAATGATAGGCAAACTTAGTGCTGTTTGTTTGGGAAAAAATAATGACTGAATTAATGCTATTAAGTTAATTTTGTTTAAAAGATGTGCACAATTTCCTTTGATTATTGCATGACTAATTTATCCAATGAATGCAATTTACAGTGCATCTGAATATACTGTATCATAGTATTGAAAATGAAAATTAATTGTATTTATTAATGTTTTTTTATTACACGGCTCTGTGGAATACTTGATTCTGATTGGTCAGTCCCGACATTCCGAGGTATGTTATCCCTCGATAATAACCGGTAAAAGCTGATAACACAGGCTCATCCGGGTAACTGTAGTCGGCGCTATATTCTTGCTTTAAGGAACACCCTGATCACCCTGTCCGGGGTTATTCTGTGATAACAACCGGCTGGATGTACAGTACATTATCCCTTACATACCTCGGGTCTCTGAGACCCAGAATATAAGTAATTTTTCATGAAGGGTGTTGGAGCCATGCTATCAAGTTAAAATTTAGTTTTGAAACAGTGAAAAATGATATAGTAATGATAAATGTGATAATGCTGAGGACTTCTGTTGGTCAAAAACGTATGTAAATGCAGTGGGCCAGTGGCAAGACTCAAGCAGCTACAATAATACTTTTGACAATATAACAGTATTGTTTGTTGTAAATGAAGTCTATGTTCATACTAATACAATACTTAAGTTTTATCTGTATAGTCAAAATTCTTTTTTAGCATTTATATGTTAGGCTATAGCATCCATGAAAAAAACATTGGTGTACAAAATGACAATACTGCCACTATGGGACATAAACTTGCAACCTTTCACTTCATCCAGCCCAAACTTGTCTGCTCCAATCTGATTGTAATCCTACCTAATTAAACACTGGCTCGAGATCAGTTTTAGCCTCACAGCTCAAACTGGTTTAGATATGGTATCAACTCTTCTTAGCGTCAAAGCATGAGAATGTCGATTGTTAATTTAGTTGTTAATTTTATTGCTTAATGGAACATATTTTGTCTTGTTGGAAGGAGTTATTTTGCAATGGTAGTGTTAAGTGATAGTGTATCCACCTTGTTCTTCAACGCGGAAGTAAGCCAATGGGCAAGACTTCCGGTTCATTAGCTGCTATAGGGAAATAACGAGAAGAATAACAACGTGAAGTAAAAGGACAAACTGTTTGCACTACAAACCAGTGTGTTCATAATTAAGATAATACATAAAAATAATATGCTTAATATGTTTTTATTTATTTATTTTTTTACATTTATATTATGTATAATTGTAGAGGAAATTAGATTTTGTATTACAATTAATCTATTCAGAAAGGTACTTATTCATTCAAGATCTACGAAATTAAGCACAAGCCTACTTCCCTATGACATCCTTTTGCCCATAGTTCCCCATTGTTGAAAACCATGGCATTTGTTCCTCATAATTAATGACCTCTACCAAGGCTGGCTCACATTTTTATGACCGGTTGAGATCACTCAAGATGAATTTCTTCACTGTAAGTGCTTTCATGATTTATTTTTCCATTAGTGCTGGAGAATCATGTACAAAAGTAAGTTGTTGTTTTTTTTCCATTGAAATCTGTGTTATTCATAACGTTTTTTTTTTTTTTTTTTTACTGTTGTGAAATTTGAGAATTTCCATTAGTTCATTCATTCATTTAGATTACTGAGAATCAGCACTACTCATGCATGGGAAGAAACCTCAGCTGTATACCACCCAGTATTCCTTCCTCCATTCAAACTCTGGATTTCAGTTTTAATGTTCTGAAACACTTGCAGAAGACTGTTTTCCCAGTTTTGTCTTTTCTACGAGTCCTTGATCTGTCAAGGTAAGCAATATTGTTGCCATCTAAATATGTTGTATAATGTGTTGCCCATAAATTATATTAAATGTATGTATTTGCTTTCAGATGCCAAATCGAGCACATTGAAAATAATACTTTCTACAATGTGAAGAATTTGACTACTTTGATTCTCACTGGAAACCCTATTACATACTTTGGACCTGGATGCTTGAATTCTTTACATAATCTACAAAGACTAGTTCTTGTGGATGCTGGTCTCTCATCCTTACAGCTTCAAATGAATAACCTAACCAAGCTGCGGGAGCTTAGAATCGGGACAAATAACATCCAGTCTATGTCTCTCCCTTCATTCATGAGCACCTTCAAGGACTTCAGTTTACTTGATCTACATGCCAATAATATATCCATCATCAAAACTGATCACACTGCTGTGTTGCGAGAGATCGGCAGAAACATGACTTTGATTAATTTTGAAGCAACCGGAAAATATTTTCTGTAAAACCATTTCACTAAGCTCAGATTTTTAGAGCAACAGACTTTGACACTGACAGCTGTGTGCACAAGAAAAGACTCACAATGGTTTTATCGGTATGTTTTGTTACAGTAGTAGTTCTTTTATCACTCTTGGTTTATAGGTTCCAGTTTTATCTTCAGTATTGCTGTATTTTACTGAGAGGCTACAGATCACCTGGACAACAAGAATGTTCCTATGATGCATTTGTGATTTTCTCCAGCTATGATGAAGTCTGGGTCATGAATGAACTGATGGAGAATCTGGAGAATGGTGTTCCACCTATTCAGCTTTGCCTGCATATGCGGGACTTTCAAGCAGGGAAGTCCATCGCCTCCAACATTATCGATGAAGGAATAATGGGCAGTCGTAAAATCATTGTGGTCGTGTCTCAACACTTCATTGATAGTGCCTGGTGTCGATTTGAGTTTGAATTAGCTCAGTCTCGCTTTATGATGGAGCGCAATGCCAACATCATCATCATCATTCTGGAAGATGTGGAAGAGAGGAAGTCTAAGAAAGTGTTTGGACTTCATAAGCATCTGAAAAAGAACACATACCTAAAATGGAGCAGAGACCCTTTGAGTAACATGAGATTCTGGATACGCCTCAGGAAAGCTATTATTGCCACAAACCACTAATTTTACATATATTGCATATATGTTTTAAATAAATAAACTCGTGCCTCATTTTCAACCACAATTTTAAAGAAGAATTATTGCATTTTATGTTGTGTTAAACCATTTTCCCAAGGCAGAGCTCCTTTGAAAAACTGCAAATAAAGGGCTTTCTATGCATCATGGGAATGCACGTTGCAAATAAATAACTTCCCTTTTAAAACAAAAAGGAGAAGTGAGAGATGTTTACACACATGCAATACTAAGACAACAGAGAAAAATCTGATTTATGTCAAATGTGATATAAATTGAAACGGCTTCACACTCACTGATGTGTGAATTTAAGTAATATTCAAGATCTAGTGACAGAAAAATTCTTAGTTTGCTGTAGGATCTAGAATCTCCTGTCCAGCAGTTTGTTCTTTGTCACGTCAAGTTTTCCATCGATCTCACGCAAGATCATTTCTAACAATGATCATGCCATTTGTGGAATGGATGATTTTCCTATGCTTAATCTTAATTTTGGTGAATGCTGGAAAAGGACACGAATGTACCACGGTAAGAACAGCTCATAATATAGTTCATATATATGTTTGACATGTTTTGAATACTGTTTGTTTATGCAGGCTCAATAATTAGTATAGTAGTATTTTGTAGTAGTGTTATTGATATTATTATAGTAAGATAAAGTATTATTAACATGCAGGGCTTCTGAACTTTTGTATTAATTTGACTCATGTTCTCTTGAGAGTTTTATTATTTCAATGTCCCAGAAAACAAAATATTATAATATAAAATATTATATTATATTATATATTAGTAATTTCCTAATTAACCTTGTTTTTCAAGGGAAGGGAAAAGGGAAATTTCATAGTATGTATATATGCACTTTTCAGAGCTTGACTTTACTCTTTATCTATCTATCTATCTATCTATCTAATAGTAAAGTAAAAAGGCCTTGGTGTCTCTCAGACAGAACACGAAGGTTGTAAAAATAAAAAATACCAAAAGTAAGTTGAAGTAAAAAGCAAAAATGGTCATTTCCTGTGTCTTTCTTTCATTTCTAGATAATAAAGAACATGGAGTACTCATGTTCTGGGAGAAATTTGACTCATATTCCCAGCAGTCTTCCCTTCACTGTGACGTCTCTGGATTTCAGTTTCAATTTCTTGAGCTCTTTACATAAGTGTGTATTTCCTGTATTGTTGAATTTAGAAGTCTTGGATCTCACAAGGTAAATGAACAATCATGAATCATTATGTGTTACAATTTAAACATGTTAGCCATTTTTCAAATGTACTCACTTTTAATCTTTTTCCTTTCAGATGCCACATCAAGCACATTGAAAATGATACTTTCTACAATGTGAAGAATTTGACTACTTTGATTCTCACTGGAAACCCTATTACATACTTTGGACCTGGATGCTTGAATTCTTTACATAATCTACAAAGACTAGTTCTTGTGGATGCTGGTCTCTCATCCTTACAGCTTCAAATGAATAACCTAACCAAGCTGCAGGAAGGAGCTTTCGGGACAAATAACATCCAGTC